TGTTTTCCTTTTCATAGGTGTTTATCCCATTTTCATATAATATTTAACAGATAGAGTTAGTATCTTTTTTATTTTTATTTTTTTTCAAGACAGGCTCTCACTCTGTCACCTGGGCTGGAGTGCAGTGGCACAGTCATAGCTCACTGTAACCTCAAACTCCTGCGTTTAAGGGAATCTTCAAACTTCAGCCTCTCAAGTAGCTAGGGCCACAGAAACAAGCCACCATATCCAGCTAATGTTGAAATTTAAAAGCAAAGCTTTTCAAATTTTTGATTAAAAATTTTTTTTGTAGAGACACTGTCTTGCTACATTGCCCAGGCTAGTTTCAAACCCCTGGCCTCAAACAGTCCTCCCACCTTGGCCTCCCCAAACACTGGGATTATAGATATGAACCACTGCTCCTGGCCTCATTTTTATTTTGTACTCACTTTCAATTATTACTTTTTGTCCTTTTTTTAAAATGGATCGTGTTAACTTTCCTTAAAAAGCACTTTTGATAATTCAGAAGGTATAAATAGCCTGCTTATTTAAAAACCTTCGCTTGGATAACTTCAGAAACTTAAGAATTATAAACTCAAATTTATACTTCTTGATATACAAACTTCAGAACTAAAGCTGTCTTCTGACTCTTCTATTTGAAAAGTTACTTAAACTTCTTTCCATCAGTCTCTCATTCTTGATTTTTGTTGGTATCCTGTGGGATTTTTGTCTAGTCTAGTAAAATTAAATTATTATCACTTTAAAGTTTTGTAGCTCTTCTTTCAATAATGATGATATTTATATTCTGTTTTGCAAATTTTAACCATGTTTTCTTATGATTGTATTATTGTTATTTGCCCACGATTAAATTTTTCTAAAATTAAAATTCAGATATTTTTACTTTTAAAGTATTTTTTAACCTGTCTATAACTTTCAGCATCAGTGACTTCCCACTGGTAAAATTCAATTGTAAGGAACACTGTTAGCAATCATTTCTGTGTGATGAAGCAATTTTAATGTCTTCAAGTGGCTGATAGTATTTTGTTTATTAAGTTACAAAGAATTAGCTTGCAGCTGGGTGCAGTAGCTTATGCCTGTAATCTTAGCACTTTGGGAGACTGGCAGGAGGATCACTTGAGGCCAGGAGTTTGAGACCAGCCTGTTCAACATGGTGAGACCCTGTCTCTATTTTTTTTTAAAAAAGAAAAAGAATTATCTTCCACAAATTATCCTAAATAACAATTTATCTGTGCCCTGATCATTGCTATGCTGTAACCAAAGAGCTATATCTGCAACGTGCTATTCCAGTTGTACTGCAAATATTGAAATGTATCTTTACTTTTGTTTGTTTCTTTGTTAAGCATCTATTAACATTTTACTCTCCTCTGTTTTAACAAATATCCCACCCATCCAGCTAATTCAAGGAATTAGATCATCCAAACATCTTTTTGTGTGTGACTTTCAACCATTCCTTTTAGGTCAGTGTTTCATTTGCATTACATGCTGCTCTGCTATTTCTGTAATTTTTTCAGTTGAAGATAGAGCTGTTTATTTTTTCTTCACTATCAGATTATATTATTACCTAATTCAATGTTAAAAAAATATTTATGACTGGGCATGGTGGCTCACACCCATAATCCCAGCACTTTGGGAGGCTGAGGTGGGAAAATCACTCAAACTCAGGAGTTCAAGACCAGCCTGGACAGCATAGTAAGACCTTGTCTCTACTAAAAATCAAAATAATTAGCTGGACGTAGTGGTGCATGCCTGTAGTCACAAATCCTTGGAAAGCTGAAGTGGGAGAATCTCTTGAGCCTGGAAGGTTGAGTCTGCAGCGAGCCATGATCGTGCCGTTGCACTCCAGCCTGGGTGACAGGGTGAGACCCTGTCTCAAAAAGAAACTCTTTAAAGCCACTTTTATGGCATGTATTTAATTCATGGTTTTATTCTACATTCCTCCTTCCTTTTTTTCTTTCTTTTTTCCTACTTCTTCCCTCTTTCCCTCCCTCTTGTCTCAAACATCACAGTAAATACTCAAAATATTAAACATGATCCCATCTTCATGGAGCTTCCATTTCAGTTGAGGAGACATTATAAAAAACCAAACCACCAATTATACATATAGATAAATAATTGTTTTAAATGCTGAGAAAAAGTAAGACAGAATAACAAGGATTAGACTTACAGGATATTTAGCTGATTACTAAAGGAAGATACGGATCTTGCCAGGTGAAGGTGAGGAAGAGCTTCTAGGTAGAGGTAAAAACTTTCAGGAAGAGATTGGAGCTTGATAAGTTTAGCAAACTGAAGAAAGAACATTTCTAGCATTTATTTCGCTTGGTAGAGAACAGCAAACATGAAGTTGCAAGGATAGATTAGAGGACAGATAATGGGAGACATTGTAAGTCTTAGAAGGAGTTTGGGCTGGGTGTGGTGGCTCATGTCTGCAATCCCAGAACTTTGGGAGGCCAAAGTGGGTGGATCACTTGAGGCCAGGAGTTCGAGACCAGCCTGGGCAAAATGGCAAAACCCCGTCTCTACTAAAAATACGAAAATTAGCTGGGCGTAGTGGCTTATACATGTAGTCTTAGCTACTTGGGAGGCTGAGGCACGAGAATCACTTGAACCCAGGATGTAGAGGTTGTAGTGAGCAGAGATTGTGCCACTGCACTCCAGCCTGGGTGATGGAGCAAGACTCCATCTCAACATAAAAGAAAGGAGTTTGAATTTTTCTTTAAATGAAAAGGAAAGCCAATGTAGTGTTTTAAGGAAGACAGTTACATTAATTTTTAATTTATTATTATTATTATTATTATTGCTACTTTAAAGAGAATGGATTGGAAAGGGGCATGAGAGTGTACCATTTGGGAGATGTTGTAATAGTCTAAGCCAGAGATAATCATAACCTTCAAAGGAGTGGCAGTGGAGATAGAGAGAAGACGATGGATTTGTGATTGGCTTTGGAGACAGAATCTGAAAGACTTGCTGATGGATTGTTCATGGAGAAGGGTGTCCTGGGATTCAAAGGAGCAGGGGACTTCTGCAGAAACACAGGGAATGTTTATTAGCAGCATTGGGGTGTTGGGAGTGAGATAGAGCCAGGCTTTTGTTAAAACTAGAAGATGACAGGAAAGTTCTGAGAAGAGGTATGAAGAATTTTCTAATTATAGAGCAAGAGTTCTTGACGATACAGGATTCTATAGATAGTGGCTTGGGTTGGATTAGGAGATACTGAGGGCAATATGGGGTTGACAGAATGGCAGTGTATGCTTTGAGACCTTGGACTTCCTGTAGTGACTACAGTGAACAGGGCTTTTAGGCAGGTTGGGATGTACCCTTCTGGGAGAGGAGGGCAATCTGACCCAATTGTGTGGTCTTTTGGCTTCCAAGAAATCTTCTTCCCTAGGCTGCAAGGACTCCTACATAGAATTACAAAAAGTTACTGCTACAAAGCACTTAAATAATATTTATTTTTGAAGATAAAGCAAGAAGACTGTCTCCTCTCACTTTTTATTTTTTTTGTAGCATTAATATTCTGCACATGCCATAGAATGTTTCTCCAACACTGCATAGTTTGAAGTGAAAATACTAGATGAAAAAGGCAAAGCTACATATATTATTGCCATTTAGTTTATGTTTTTAATCCATGTTTGTATAGTTTTATACTGTTTGCATCTTTGTTAAATTTTAGATTTTGAAGTAAGGACTACATTAGTTTTAAATTGCTTTGTGGTGTTAAGAGCAAGTTAGTGATTATATTTTCATATTTAAAAGTAAATATGATGGGTTTATAGGCCACACATATGTTCCATGTTCATCATATCATTTCACAACTAAAAATGAGTCCCGTCCCTAAATAACTGTTCTCAAAGGTTGTTATTTTTTTTAAAAAACATGCAATACAGTGTATCAAAAACAAGATTGACAAGTCAGATCCTGGCAAGTATGTATTATGACTAAGAATTTGCTTTCTTTAGGCTGTAATTTTGCTTCAGTGCTTATGAAATTTTGATTTTTGATTACATTGGAATATTAACAGAAAGAAAATAATTCTATTCATTCACAGATCAAAAATAATAGAGTAGAAAATTATTATTGTCAGTATCTGAAACCAGACTTCGCTCATTTAAAAAATATCTTTTGGATCCACCCTATCATAGATCTTCAATATTGTTTCTGAATAGAATATTGAATACTTATAGTGAAGAGCATTCCTCTGTTTCTTTTTTTTTTTAGTATATGTATGTCAGGAAGTCTAATAATGATTTGTTCTTCTAGCAGTTTCCATATGCCCACTGATCCCAAACCTACAATTACGTGCCTCTTGCTATTGAGGCAGTGTGTTGTGCCCTTTGGTGTATTGTGCTGGAAGAACTATTGAGATGTAAAGATACTTGTTAGGAAAAGAACAGGGCTATAGATAGAAATCCATTAAATGCCAGTATTCTCACAGGCAACAAAAGAACAGGTACCAAAGATTGAAAAGGAAATTTTAGAAAGGGAGGAAAACAAGCCAGGAATGTTGAAAATAGGAAACTAAGTGAGCCTCCACAAAAGACAGTTTCAGAATGAAGTTGAGTCAGCAGGATCAGATGCCACAGAGAGAGGCAGGTTAAGATGAAGATGGGACAATGTCTGTTGCATTTGACCATTAGGAACTGAAGACCATAGTGGGGCATTAGAATGGTGTGGCAGAGCAATATTTCAGTGTGCTGGAAAACAAATGAGAATTGATAAAGTGAAGACTACAAGTGTGGCCTCTTACAGAGTCCCCTAATCTTTTTCTTAGTTTTCTGTGTAGTCTCTGATTATAGAATTTTGAAGTATGTGTAGTTGAAGTTGAAGACGTTAAATATAAACCATACATAGATCTTTACACAGTTGCCAGAAATCTTTTATATTAATGTAATAATTTATGTAAAACTAAATATTTAAAGTTTTGAACTCTTAAAGCACAGCTAAATGGAAACCTTTAATGCAAATGTTAATTTTGTTTCTTTTTTTTTTTTTTTTAGTCTTGGCTACTTATGATTCAGCAGACAGAACAACTTAGTAGGATAATGAAGACACATGCAGAGGACTTGAACTCTGGACCTTTACACAGGCTCACCATGATGATTAAGGACAAGCAGCAGGTGAAGAAAAGTTACTTAGGTGTTCATCAGCAGATAGAGGCAGAGATGATCAAGGTTCGTTTTTCCATATTGAAGTTCTTTCTTGAAATTGTTTTCCAAATTCACTGAAATATTTTACCTTATTTGACTTTAAAAATTATGTATTTGTCATTTTCCAACAAGAAATAGGTTTATGGTCTCTAATAAGTAATATCTTATTGAACATAAAACACTGATTATAGGATATACTGTTACTATATATACTCATATGAAAGAAAAAAGAGGCTCCCAATTAAACTATGACACAAAGCTTTATCACTTAGGCATTTTAGTTTTTATTTACTGAAATCATTCTCTGAGTCTTTTAAAACTAAATTTGTCTTATCTAATACTTTGCATAAATAAAAAAGAAAAAATAAGCAAAATTACTTTTGGTATTCTTAAATTTACATATCCCTAATTTTCCCTACATTCAGAGTCTGTCTCTCTGAATGACATTTTTCAAATTATTTTTATTGTAGAAATTTGTAAATGTATAAAAGAAGAGAGAATAGTAAAATGAACTTCCACCTACCCATCCCCTGCGTTTTCTATACTCCCACCCACTTTTTTTTTTTTTTACATTGGATCATTTTAAAGATATCATTTTATCCATAAATATTTTAGAATGTATAGCTAAAATCAGTGTTCTTGTTAAAAATGTAACTAAATATCATTAATTTGCCTAAAAATAATAATTCCTTCATGTTATTGAATATTCTTTGTTGAAATGGTTATTGTTTAAGCTTTTATTTATAGTTGGTTGGTTTCAGTCAGGATCCAGATACCATCTATACCTTGCATTTGAATGATACTTAAAAAAATATGTAGGTTCTCCTTCCTGCCCAGTTTTTAATAAGATGCTATTTATTTGTGGAAGAAACTAGATAATTTGCTCTATATAATTGAATTTCCTTCATTTTGGGTTTTTCTGTTAGCATCTTATGATGTGGTTTACATATTCCTTCATCTTTAATCTTTTCTGTAAATTGGAATTTAGATCTAGAGACTTGATAAGATTGGGTCTGGCTGGGTATTTTGGGCAAGAATACATCATAGGTGGTAGTATACACTTCCTGCAGTTTTATATCGGGAGGTATATAATGTCGATTTATCTTTTTATTATATGAAACTTGACTGATTGGTTCCAGTGTTGTCAACCTGATCAATTGATTCAAAAAGTTTTCTGGCTTATGCCTGTAATCCCAGCACTTTGGGAGGCATGGTGGGCAGATCGCCTGAGGTCAGGAGTTCAAGATCAGCCTGGGCAACACAGTGAAACCCCGTCTCTACTAAAAATACAAAAATTAGGTGTGGTGGTGCACGTCTGTAAACCCAGCCACTTGGGAGGCTGAGGCATGAGAATTGCTTGAACATTGGAGGCAGAGGCTGCAGTGAGCCTAGATTATGCCATTGCCCTAATAGCCTGGGCAACACAGCGAGATTCTGTCTCAAAAAAAAAACAAAAAAAAAAAGTTTTGTATCAGTCTTTTACCAAAATAGTTTTACAAAGTTAACCAGTGAGATTTTTCTTGAATGGGGAATAATTTGAAACTCATTTATATTTATATTGTAGTTATTTTTGTTTATTCACACAGTGTCATCGTCTGTGTCATCGAGAACATTGATGATACAGAATTTCTTTAAAATGGGTTTGAGATTATCTTCCAAGTTGCTGATAACCCCTTTTGCAACGTTTTGATGCTTTCTCTTTCTTAGTCTTCTCAAATGGCAAATTTGAAGATCTGTAGACAATATCTGGTACACGTATTTTTTCCTTAAATTGCATTTAAATGGCTTTTTGACTACAGTCAAGGACTTGCATTTGTGTCATTGTTCCATAGAAATAATATCTTAATTGTTTTTTTAATTACAGAACATATTTCTGCACTTACCAAATTAATTTTTTTTTGAATTTTAGATAATGGCAGTGTTATTCTGTATTTGCCACCCCCTTTCCCTGCTGCCTTTTTTTTTTCGAGTCAAGTTTCAGCCAGGCTGGAGTGCAGTGGCGTTATCTTGGCTCACTGCAACCTCTGCCCCCCGGGTTCAAGCAATTCTTGTGCCCCATCCTCCCGAGTAGCTGGGATTATAGGCGTGTGCCACCACAGCCTGGCTCATTTTTTGTATTTTTAGTAGAGACAGGGTTTTGCTGTGTTGGCCAGGCTAGTCTTGAACTCCTGACCTCAGGTGATCCGCCTGTTTTAGCCTCCCAAAATGCTGGAATTGCAGGCGTGAGCCACTGTGCCTGGCCTGATTTGCTATTCTTTTGTTTGTTTTCACATGCTATTGAATTTAGTACTGATTTTTAAAACATATTTGTAGTTTATTTTCTGTAATTGTATATTGAAGAACAACTCTGACCTGTAAGTAGTAAAGTACACATCAGTTAATACTTTGGAATTTAAGTTCTTGAGCAATTTAAATTTAAACATTTTAAAACTTTTATGCGTTTTGTTTCTTTGACAGGTTACAAAAACAGAATTGGAGAAGTTAAAATCCAGCTATAGACAATTAATAAAAGAAATGAATTCTGCCAAAGAGAAATATAAAGAAGCTTTAGCTAAAGGTAAGGCAAAATTTTAAAAATTGTTTACTTAGGTGATTTTTATTCTTACTATTACAATAGAAAATAATGTCAAAAACCACAATTACTTTTGCACCAACCTAATAGTTGTTTTTTTTTTTTTTTCTGT